AATAAGTAAATTCTATTTTTTTATACTTTTTAGAAGACCGTTTAATAGAAAGTCAAATCTATATCTAAATTGTCATGAAGAACCATACAAACGGTATCAAATCCATATCAATGCATCCATGTAGAACCGTTCAAACATTGTCATATATCTATGCTTCTATGAAAAGCTGTATAAAGGGGTGAAATCTGAACAGTACAAACAGGGTCAATCTATATCTATGCTAACAATAACGCTTCCACGAAGAACCGTACAACTATATATAATAGGTCATAAAATAAAATTTTAAAATAAGAAAAATCAGTAAATGTCAGTTAGTTTTTGCTTCCAGGAAGTGTTGCGTAAACGCGTCAAATTGTTAAGGAAAATCGATAAAGCGGGGTCAAATCTATATTGATGCTTTAATTGGACAAACGAGGTCAAACCCTTTACACGCTTCCAAGAAGACAATATGAATGACAATGTTTTATCAACACTATTTTTAATTTTTTTTACAGGTTTTTTATTTGGTGTATTTGAACATGAGATAAAGCAGTTTTTATTAAAGAAAATACCTAATAAAAATAAGGGTTTAAGTTGCATTGTTAATGATATAAAGGGTTGTGTGGAGTAAAGCAGCAAGCCTCCAGATTCATGATAATTTTCATCAAAAATTTGAAAATGTATTTAAATCCGTAAGATTTTTAAGGTGGTTTATACATTGCAAACATCACTTTCAATCCACGTAAATTTCAAAATAAATGCCAAAATATACATTCTAACACCATCGGAGATTTCTCTTATATAAAGATAAAAGGCCGGAAGAGTGATATATGTATAGGTTAAAGTTTTTTTAGTACGTATTTATAAAATTACATTGGTCAGGCGCGGCGCGGCCGCGAGATCAATTTAATTTTGTAAATACGTACTAATAAATTTTTACCTGCTTAGTGTTTTTAATTATTTTATAAACAGCCGATTTACTAGACTGATTCACAGAAAGTAAATGTGTTACGATTGATTGGACAAAAATAATTTCAAATACTCAGTAGGAAATAGATATCAATACTTAGTGCAGAATGTTGTAGAATAATGCACGAAACGAGTTTAAATGCGTAGGAATATAATCACGAAGGTCGGTAGGTCTGAGTGATGAATTACAAAGCATTTGAACGAAAAACCGTGCATTATTATACCACAATGCACGAAGAATTAATATCTATTTCCATTCTGACACGTCAAGAAAATATAGTTGGGCTAACTGTTTGGTGGTTAAATTTGTTTTCGCCTAAGAGTTTTCAAAAGAAAGTTCTTTAAAGGCTGTTCCAGTCTGTTGAAAAAAAGCAAACTGTTGATAAGTCTACCGTTTGCAGAAAAATTTTGAGAATGATAAATTTTGAAAACGTTTTTGAAAAAAAATTGTGTGTGTTTATTTTATTTCACTTTATATTTTTCAAGCGAAATACAGAGTATTCATAGTGAAATAAATGTTAAAATTAATTGGTTTGCGGCATTGAACTAGCGTTCTTGTTTTGATGGTCTTTGCATGCGCTGTTTGGCGCTATATTGTGACGTCACGTAAACAACACTTTAAAAGTCTGTACAGCCTATCGGCGTTCGTGATTATATTCCTACGCATTTGAACTTAAACCGTGCATTTTTCTACAACAATGCACTCAGAATTACGATGTTTCGTTTGGACAATCGTGATTTTTTATTTAGTCTGTACCCAAGAAGCACGATGGTACGATTGTGAAATCGCGATGGCATGATGGTGAAAACACGATGGCACGATGATAAAAACGCGATGGTGCGATCGCGATGTTTTCACCATCGTACCATCGCATTTTCACCATCGTACTATCGCGTTTTCACCATCGCACCATCGCGCCATCGTGTTTTCACCATCGTGCTATCGCGATTTCACCATCGTGAAATCGCGTTTTCTTAATCGTACCATCGCGCTTTCACCATCGTACCATCGCGTTTTCACCATCGTGTTATCGCGCTTTCACCACTCGTGCCATCGCGATTTTACCATCGCACCATCGCGCTTTCACCACCATACCATCGCATTTTCGTCATTGTGCCATCGCGTTTTCATCATTATACCATCGCGTTTTCACCATTGCGCCATCGCGATTTCACCATCGTTCCATCGGGCTTTCAACATCGAACCATCGCGTTTTTCATCATTGTGCCATCGCGATTTCACCATTATACCATCGCATTTTCACCACCGTACCATCGCGTTTTCACCATCGCGTCATCGTGTTTTCACCATCGTGCCATCGCGATTTCACCATCGTGCACTCGCGTTTTCACAATCGTACCATCGCGCTTTCACCATCATACAATCGCGTTTTCACCATCGTGTTATCGCGCTTTTAGCCTCGTGCCATCACGATTTCACCATCGTACCATCGCGCTTTACCACCGTACCATCGCGTTTTCATCATTTTGCCATCGCGATTTCACCATCGTACCATCACGTTTTCATCATCATACCATCGCGTTTTCACCATCGTTCCATCGTGCATTGCGATAACAGACTAAATAAAAAAATCGCGACTGTCCAAACGGAACACCGTACAGAATCGAGATCGTTTTCCTAAATAAAGCCCTTAATGTGTTATTCGTGCAGGACAAAAATGGTGATAATTACTGCAAAATCGGTCATTCATCGCATGTAACATATAAACCGTTACTTGAATTCTAAGATTCTAAGTATTCCCTTGTCTAGTATATACTTACTATTACAAACCATATAGTTCGCCAAAGGAGAATAATTCTTTAAAACTTGTCTTTCATTCTCATCCTATTCCATTGTGTAAAAATATTTTGTTTGTTATTTATTTGTATGAACATTATATATACTTTCGGGAATAAAAATCTTTAAACCAATTCATATTTCACTGTTGAAGATATGAAAATCAAATAGATCAAACATTAAAAAAACCCCCACACACAATTCATTAAACCCGTACAGTACACTCTTTAAATAGTTTTTGACAATGAGGATTGTGTCTTTAGCTAGTTTATTAACTGAACTTATCTAAATATGGATTTTTCGTTTTGTGTTGTAAACTTCAAATTGAAGAAACGTGAAAGGGAACCAATACAAACGAGAATAGTTGAAAGGAAGACAATCAGAGATACAAATGCAAATCACATTGCGTTGCAACGCTTTTCAATGTGCGGTCATTTTACACAATTAGAATAATTATTCTTTAAAAACGGAGTGAGCGATTGATGTAAGATTTTGCACACAATTAAGTTATTGGTCTAGATCTTTAGCATACGGAACATTGATATCGGAACAACATTTCCGATCCCGTCATGTAAAAAAACTTAATGGAGTCCTTTTAAACAATGTACCTGAATCAGAAAAATAAACAGAAGACCACGGGTAAAATTGCAAAAAGGAAAATTGAATACCAAGCATTATCTTTGAATTACAAAGGCCACAGTTTAGTACAGAGCAAACCTTAAATCAGTACAGATACAAGTTTCAATCAAATATTTGAAATATAATGAAGTAAAGAAGTAAAGGTCTAAATATACAACGTGAGCATAATTATTAGATAATACATTTCAGCCATCAAAGTGTCAAAATATTGTATTTGACGGTGGCTTCGGTGTAGTTAAAATGTTGCTTTAAAGATTACAAGTTAATAGATATTTTATAACGTTAACTTAAATTAAAAAATGATATTTGACATTGGTATTTGAGGACAACTACCAGTATCTTTTGTTTTGTAAAACGGAAGTGTTATTGAAATGTTTAAATTGTTGGTAATTGTTTTCTATTGCCATTGGAATGGAATAATCCTAATAATAGTGTCTTATAGAAATATATATATATTGTTAGTTACCGAAATGCTATATATGTCGATATATAGATTTGTTGATATGTATTTGTTAAGGTATTACCACCCTAATGGGCACTATAAGGAACTTAAAATTTATATCATAGGTCAGATATATACCTTAAAGTACATCTGTATGCAAAATTTAAACACACTTTACCGTACGGAATTCGAGTTATGGCCACTTTTATAAACTGAAGCTAGGGTGTATGAGGGTCCTTTTTCAGAAATGAGTAACCTTTAAATAATCTACAATAACATTTTAATGAAAAACGTTTTCCCATTATTTTTTGGTAAGAAACAAATAGTACTATTCAGCTAACAATCAACATAAACAAAATTATGGTTTCTACTCAAAATTTATAAAATATGTATAAAAATGTTACCGTACCCCATCCATTTTAACACGTGTTTGACCATTTTCCTACTTAGGGAGCCTAATTTAAAAAATCCTTAAAATTTACCCGAATGAGTGCCTGTTTTCAAAGTTTCCCTAAATTTAAAAAAAAAGTATATTGGTTGATCTTGTAAAATATTAAATACTTTTACCGTCTAGTTTTGGTTTTATTACACTTTGAAAATATCAGGTACCATATTTATTACTAGATTTAGCATTATTTAGCCAATAAATTCCTATATAAATTAAATAATAAAAAATACACACTTTTTTCTACCCAAAATGGATGGAGCGATACATAAATAATGTTAAAAGAAAAAAAATTGACCCATCTGAGGTTTGAACCCATGGCCCTCGGTTTCAATGTAGTTAACAGTAGTTCTAGCCTATTTGAATACTCTTTAAAGCGGAGGTAAGGCATTAGGATGGTAATACCTTAAATAGTATTTATAAAATGTAATGGATTTAGCCCCGATCTCCAAACATCTACAACAACGAGAATAAGAAACTGTTGAACAAATATATTCTATTTCTGTTCACTCTCAGTTATTAAATATAAGTACGTATTTAACGCTATTGACAAAAATTTCGATTTTAACTGACAAGAAAGAGGGACGTAAATCCGACTGTAGCTGTTTACTATTTTTCTAATTAGCGTCTAATTAACTAAGCCATTCAGGCTTGCGTAGTGTTTACCTAGATAGACGCGAATGACTAAATAAACTTTATTGAAGACAGTTTATGCGATGTGAACTATGTCAAATATATGTTTTTTATTAGACGAAAGGAAAGATAAAGAATTACATGATGTTATAAAAGGTAGATAACATTTTTTTTTTATAAAAACGTCTATATTTTTCCAAAAGGCTTTTCATAGTCTATATATTGTTTTCGTTTTGCTTATGTTTGCTTTTAGAATCCTTATACTTCTTAACATGAATTTGTTTTTGTTACTTGTTCATCAAAGTATTATTTACTTGACGTGACAGAACATGCATTTGTCTATTCTGTTTCGGTGTCTGGATTTGCTCCGGCTTCGATAAACGACTCAGAGAAAGATGATTTAGTAGCACCATCTTTATCACAATATTTTAACTTCTCATCATTGTCTGGTTTTAATTCGATTGTAGTTGTCATAAACTTTGCCTCTTTTGCTAGATGAAACAATTTTTTGCCAACATTTTTCAATCTGTCAAAATATTCTAGCCCTTTATAGTTCTTCTTGTGGACTGCATCAATTCCGTACAAAACACCATAAAGACATCCTGCAATAACACCAGTGCTATCACTGTCGCCCCCATGAAACATTGCTCGATGACATAAATCATCCCAGTTTCCTTTGCAAGCTAATAATGCATCATATGCGATCATTGGTGCATCATGACCACTTGCCCCGCCGATGTCGTCATAACTAAGCATGCGGTACATCTGGTCACGTTTCTTTACTTGGTATTCGTCCGGTGAAAAAATTGGATCGGATTGTCCGTCTGATATATTTCTCATTCGGAGGAAGAATTCCCATTTCGCTTGAAAATAATTCCAGTGATCAATATTTTGCTGTATAGTGTCTATGTCTGGATGTAAGTTTTCTTTTTCCTGTGATACATAGTCTTTAGCAATCTCAAGTGTTGTTAACAATCCTTTACCCCATTCTTTTAGTGGCCTGTCTTGAACAGCGTATGATGTGAATAGAGCTGCTGCCAGTGAGCCAAGGTATCCAGTTGGATGATGGTGAGTAAGCCTTCCTGACTCTATGCTTATTTCAACTAAATCGTTGACTTGCACATCGTGTGGAAATCTCAACCCGATACACATAGACCTCATCGCAGCACCACATCCACCACCTCTCGTATTAAACGGAATTCTCAAACCATTTGGAAGTTTGTCGGGTTGAAGACGTCTGCACATTTCTTTACATGTTATTCCTGGCGCCCTTCCGACCATGTCATTCATGCAACGAATGTAATTGTTTGCAATGTCCTGGTATAACTTTAATTTATCAACACTTTGCTTGTGTTTTATGAGAGCGTCAGCGGTTGCTAAATGCATTACAGTATCGTCACTGACCATCCATTCTTTCGTATCAACTTTCAGTTTCGAAAGACCCCCCAGATGCTTTAGCTCTTCGTGAATAATATTCCCATCCAAACAAAATTCCCAATTGCCTCTTCTGTATCCCAATGCATCTCCAACACCGCTAAGAATCATTCCGGCGGTATACTTTTCTTCTTCCATATTTGTTAATTGCACAGCCATTTTCTTTGGTATAAGTTTTCGTATTATTGCAACCTCTACAAATCGTTGACATTTAATAACGTCGCTTAATAAGTCGTATTCTCTTCTTTGAAAAGACCTTCTGGGAATTCGGAAACAAACGGAAGTAAATTATATTTTAAACTTTGTACTACTGGCAGTTACCTTAATAAAACAAGGTTATTGACATAGATTTATAATTTCAACACAACTTACATATTGATCATGTGCAGGGTCAGTGTGGTATAAAAATTCGGTTAAATATTTCGTTGACTTAGTTTCCATACAGTATCACGAGGCTTATGTATGATATCAGGTTTAAATTGTAGTACAAATGGTGGTATATTCTTTGTGCTAAATAACATTTAAGTGATCACTTATAGAATACGCATAAAATATACGCAGAAAAAATGAATATCCAACAAATTATATGTTTATATTGATATAAGTAGTATTGATATAAGTAGTATATAATTTACATTATCAATTACAATAGTTTAAGTCTAACGTTATTTAGTTTATTTAATTGAAGATATTCAAATATATTGATAATGATTTTTTCTATGAATGAATCTTTTTCTATCACTGAATGAATCTTTTTCTATCAGAAGAATCCATAGCATGCAAATCACTATGCATTCATCTTCTGTACTAAAGAAATTTCAATCATTGATAATCGGGTAAATAAGTTCAGAATTGTGACTTGACTACTATATATACGCACTAACAAATCGATAACGCCCTTTAAGAGATTCATACACGACACTGAAAGACCGGATTGTGCAGAGTTACTAATGGTCCAAGTGGTTCAATAAACTTATAATGATACATGAGTAATATCTTCCTTAATTAGACTAAAGAATCAATAGAATTTCGAAATTTCATTTTGATAGATATTTCAGGACAAGCTACTTTAAAAGATAAGATTTTTCCTCGGTAATTATTCATTTAGTGTGTTGTTTATTTTTGTATTAGCCTCTAAATGTCTACCATCTTCAAATTTTATTTAAATTCGTCATTTATTTAAATCATTTTAAACTAAAAAAGAATATACAGCCAAATTTGAAACATAAAATAGACACAAAATTTTGTGTAAAACCTACAAATCTGTTACCATGGACATATTTGTAACATTTTAACAAGCATCAAATATCTGATGATGGCCGAATGTTGTTTGAATAAGAAATCGTTTGTTGTTGTTGTTTTGTTTGCTTGGTCTTTGGTTTTTTCCTTGTGGATATTATCCAACACTAAATTGAAGATGAAGAAACTCTTTTTACTAAGTGTATATGTCGCGTTGAGGAAAAAATTTTTTTGACTCATTACTAAAGCCAACATATGAGAACTTTAAAAGAAAGAACAAGTACGGATTGGAAATTATGCTTAAAATTAAATTTTCATCTTTTTTCTTGTATAAAATTAACGACTTTTGAATACAATACTTGTAACAACTTAATAAAGCAGAGCATTTGTTTTGTATATTATACATATAAAGTACCATGTTCTACGACTTTTAACAATATAGTTTATCTGAACAAATGTAACGATGTAAATATTATCGGTAAAGTGTGAATAAGTTGTTTTTTATGATAATTTTGTACTAAAACAAAGCAATACTTTCAAAATAATTATAAATAAAACCAGTGACAAATTTAATGATAGTATACTAGGATGATTTTAATATTGGCAATGTGCTTCATTTTACCAGAAATGACACCATCTTAAAAAAAAGAAGTATGGCATTTTAAATGTTTTGCGCTGATGGCACTTTCACGTGGCCGAGTGGTTAAGATCGTTTAATTCAAAACACTTGCCCTTCATTGCTGTGGGTTCCGCATGTCAAAGTGAAAAGTCGCACATGTCCTATACAGTGTTGGGGCAGTGTAACCCCCCCACCCAATAAAAAAAAAAATATCCCTGGTGGTTTGGTCCATCCATCGATCCTCCTGTGGACTACACAACTACTCAACTCCACTTAGGACATTCCATATCATGACGCCACGTTAATAAACCATTTTAAAATTCAAAGAAATCACCGTTATCCAAGACTTGATTGACAGCCAATTCTAATTTCCACTGGGCAGTTACTCCCCACAATTGGTATTAACAAAGATATATATACACATCTTCATTTAATGTTATTTTGCAGAAACTTTGTAAATTGCAGTAACTTTATATGATATTCATGCATTGTGCGATGTTTAAGGGCCAGTTACACAGACGGTCGATCCCCAATCAGTCATTTAATTCTAAATTTACTCGCTGTTATGATGGGTTGTCATGCGTTATTTTATTTCTGGTTATCTGTGTAAATGGCCATCAGTGACAGAAAGCAAACTCAAACGGTGTTGGATAGGTGATAAAAATGCTGAATTACTATCTGTTTTTATCGTTTGTAAATCGGAGCTAAATCGGGCGTAACGCTGATTAATCGGTGTTTGATAGCTAGTCATCAGTGGTTAAACACTTTCCGTCAGATATGGCCGGTAATTCATATTTGGTTATCTTTGTCCGATCGGCGATATCGGTGGTTAAGTGCTTGCATACCTCGTGATATAGGTTGCTGTTGGTTATTTGTAAAATATTTTCACCGATCGAGAATTTTAAACATGTTTAAAAATACCAATCGGTAATTTTTCACCGATAAAACTTATCTTTCCCCAATAGCAGTTGATAGGTGGAAAACAGGTGACCAATAGGTGATATCGGTGTTAAATACGTTGTCATCGGTTCACTCCATAATTTGGCTGAAAAAAAAAACTACCGATCAATGGTAATTTGTTGTAGCGTTGATGCGATACCATGTATTATAAGATTCAAAATTTATTACAAAAAACAGTTCATGTAATTATATACTACATATAGAATAACTATTATCATAACAGATTTAAATGTTAATAAACATAATAATATAATTGAGATGTTTTTATGATGACGTTCTTACATTCTTTTTTATTCAACTCACAATGTAGGTTATGAAGGAGTTGTTACTATTTCTGCTTTCACATCGCTAAATTCGGGTGATTGTGTAAAATTTGTAAAACATTGAGATAAGTACGTGTAGTTTATTGTACTTAAAACATTACAAATTTCTTAAAAATAAGAATAACGTATAAGTTATCTTTTCTTGTTATGACCTGAAAAAAACTATTCGAAGGCAGAAAACGCAAAAACAATGTATGTGAACCACACTTTGGTCTCTCTTAAAATTTATGTTTCTGTCATTATATTTAAAGATCGCATGTCAATATATAACCTTACCTACCTAGCGTTTTAGTGTCATTTCACTCATTAATTCAATATTACATTTTTTTCTTACTTAATATCATGCGTTGTTACTTTTGCAATTAAGAATTTATTAAGAATCTATATCAATTGCGTTTAATTAACGCTATCACAAAATGTAAATTAAAGTATGAACAATATGCCTTAGAAATCAGTTATGACGAATTTGAAGGAAATTTTGCCTGAAAATGTTACCTCTATAGTGTATACAAGTAATGCATATTATTTTCTCTGTGATCTAGTATTTGAACCCCAAATTGCCCATATTTGAAATTGGGCCAGAAAACAGCAAAACAACCTTTATATTTCGACTGAAATATAGCCTTTAGTGTGTTAACAACGTTTTTTCTGTTTGTAAATCATTTGACCCAGTTTTAATCCCAGATGACCGATATTCGAACATTTTCGACTAATCAATCGACAATTTTTCTGACTTAGTTTTGTGACAATAGAGGCAAGGGCGAATAACCACGGACGACAGACGACAACGGACAGATCTATCCTAGCCTACAGCTAAAATATGGCATTTGATACGCTTTACGTGTATAAAATCAAGAGGGCCATGATGGCCCTGAGTCGCTCACCAGAAACAACTGTTTTTCAGTGTTTGAATGTCAATATTTTCTAATATTAAATTTGAGCATAGAATATGTTTAAACAATAATTTGAAGACCTGGGACATCTAAGCTTTAACTTAAATGTGGCTAATCAAATTAATATGATACTAATAGCTCACCCTAAGCCTTCGGCTCTGGTGAGCTAATAATACAAGCGAGGTTTTATGTACACGTAAAATGGCTCCGTGTTCACTGCATACTTTAAGAATAACCTGGAACGGAGGATCTTTCTGTCCCAGGAATAACCAAATAATTGCTACGTAGTCAAATGTCTGTTTAGATCTGCGCAGTTGTTGAAATTAAAAAGAAAGCATAACGACACGAAAATTTTAATTACTTCATACTAGTACGAGTAGAACTCGTTTTATGCTGTGAGTATCCTTTGGTCAATTTCGTATCGTGCCAGGAATCTGACACCAAGTATCTCATTTATATGTAGACATAGCTGACTCGCTCGTTACGGTTTATCCTAATGCCTTGGACATTATTAATTTATCCCAATTAAACTATATCAGCAAATGACCAACAATAAAACAATCAAATTTTTGCATTTACATAGTAAACATGTATAAATCATTAAAGGCATGAGACCCGTTACCAAATCTAACAAAAAACCCCAAAAAACAAACAAAATAAAACACACACACACACGTGTGAAATTGCGGAAATTTAAATGATAAATGTTTTGTAACAAAGCAAGAAATCTTGTATTGGTCCTGAAGTGTAAAGCTGATGAATGTGAATGTTTTAATATACTTTCGTTTTTATTGACGACTCGCAAAGTTCATGTATCATTCCACAGTAAATCATGCGTCTTATTTAAACGGCTGATTTGCAGCCGAGTGAAAAGGTAACTGTTTTATAAATGCTTTGCATTTACAATAACGATAGTCAAGTAAAGATGATGTTGCAAATTTTGAGCAGAATAAAACAGCTCACTCTATAAAGCATCTTATTTTTTATCAAAATATTTAGATAAACATATTACAAACAAGAGCGATCAGTGATCACATGTGTCGCCTCATGATGGCCAATTTCACGTTGGGACAAGTTTTGTGACAGACGGACAGGCAGACGGACAGTGCACAACTAGACTTGGTACTGATCATTCCTATAAAGTTTGGATAAAATTGCACCAGTAGTTTATGAGGAGAAGTCCGGACAAGCTTTTGTGTATCTGGCAACACACAGAAAAAAAAACACCTTTTTATTAAAGGGCCATAACTCGGCCAAAATCATTCAACCGGAAAACCCGTGCAATATGCGGAAGGACTTGAGCTACAGATCAATCCTGTAAAGTTTCATTGAAATTGCATAAGTGGTATAAGAGAAGTAGTCCGGGCAAACTTTACAAATAAACATAAATAAAAGCCCATAACTCCGACAAAAATCATTGAACCGGAAAATGCTGACACTGTGCTTAACTAGACTTAGTACTGATCATTCCTGTAAAGTTTGGATGAAATTGCACCAGTTGTTTATGAGGAGTAGTCCGGACAATTTTTGTGACGGACGGACAGACAGACGGACAGACGACGGAGAAGTGACCCCTATATGTCGCCACTACTCCGTAGAGGCGACACAAAAAGATACAAGCTGCACTCGATAAAAGTTCAATGTTTATTTAAACTGGCATTATGTCTAGCTAAGTATAAATTATAAATTACACATGCTTACATAACATCTCTTTGTTTTTATAGGTAACGTATGGTTTATAAAAAAAGATAGACAGCTGAAATATTTTAGACAGTTTTTATATTTTACGTTCAACATATTTCAATACAAATAATTGTTTAATCACCGTTATACTAACCAATCTTTTGAAATATATAATTAATTCAATTCAATATGACAGCAGAAAATGGGATTTTCTGGGCATTTTATGATCAACAATTTGAACTTAAAACGTAAGTCAAATTGTTATCCGATAGTTATTGACAAGTCAAGGGCAAAACACAATGTTGTACAAGTCCTCTCCAGCTCTTTCTAATCTTTCACGATACTCTAAGTGTTGAAAGTTCCTTTTTGGAACTCCTTCCATACCGTACAAAACCCCAAATAGAAATCCTGCAATCACGCCAGTGCTGTCGCTGTCTCCACCGTGGAACATTGCTCTTTTACAAAGCTCCTCCCAGTTTCCGTTACAAGCAAGCAAAGCATCGTATGCAATCATTGGTGCATCGTGGCCACTGGCTCCTCCGATATTTTCATAACTCATCATTTTATAGAATTGATCTCTCTTTCTCACGTCATCAAAATCTAATGGATAACTTGGCTCTCGTCTTCCATCTTGTATGTTTCTTATATCTAAAAATTGTTCCCACTTGTTTTCAAAATAACCCCAGTCTTTCATATTTTCAGCAACAAATAAACCTTTGTTTTTCACATAGTTTTGGGCAAGTCTTATGGTTTCCAGTAAGCCTATCCCCCATGTGCAAGGTTTTCTTTTCTGTACTGCATAAGATGCAAAAAGAGCAGAAGCTAACGCTCCAAGATATCCAGTAGGATGGTGGTGTGTCATTCTTGCAGATTCTATGCTAACCTCTATTAGATCATGCAAATCTCGTGGTCTTGGATACCTCAACCCAATACACATCGATCTCATTGCAGCGCCACACCCACCGCCAGTCGAATTGTATGGAATGCGATAGCCATGTGTTCTAAACGGATCAAGGCGTCTGCACATTTCAATACATGTTAAACCAGCCGATCTCTCTTTCATATCAGACATGCAGTTTTTGTAGGCTTGAGCTAATAATGAATAAAGATTTTCTTTATCTTGACAAAAATTGTTTTGTATGAGAGATTCAGCCGTAGCTAGATGCATAACAGTGTCATCACTTACTTTCCAGTTTTTTATACTTATGTTACTAAGTCCTCCTAACACTTGTAATTCTCTGTGGATCTGCGCTCCGGAATTGCACATTTCCCATTCACCATTTTTAAATCCAAGTGCATCTCCAACACCACTTAGCACCATACCATCAACATAACGTGCTCTACTTGTTTGTACTGACCAGTCTTTATGTCCATCCTTTTCACTTGAAAAATATGGATTTGCCCTGCGTGCCATTCTTAAAGAATGCAGATAAATATCTAAATCCGAACCAATTTGAACAAATAAAATATTTATTTATAGTCAATATTCGTAGAAACCGTCCTTTCAAATACAGGGTGAAACACAATTTATATTTCGTTTATTTTTATAGACACAAAACTGGTTTACATTTAACGCAGGCGCATAACAAAGTGAGAGATTAAATATCGGTTTCAAACGATCAAGTACCGTTGGCATTACTATATCCTAAGTAGTCACGTGAAAAATATCTCTTTATTTAATTGCAACCAAACAGTATTGAACGTAAAGTTTATTGAAATACAGGACTTAAATGGCAAGCGCAGTACCTGGAATGTAAGTATAAGCATTATATATCGAAACTGCCACAAATGAAAAAAAAAACTTGCTTTCAATACAGGTTTATATCTATTCACAAGCATTTTTCTGTTATTAAGCTTGTAATTTGAATACTTTTCCGTTAAATGCATTTAAGATCTTTATCAAAATAGTCTGTCATTTTCAAAAAGATGCTAAACCCACACTTTTATCAGTTGATTTGTCACTTATCTAGAGTACTGAAATTGTAATTCAATGTCGGATATTTTGTGGATTTTAGTTTTGCATCCCACTACGCCTTAGTGTTATTTGCAGTGTTTATTGATGAAATGGTTAAAAATGAAAATTAACAATTTCAAAATAATGGCAAATCCGACTTTAATACAATACCACAGCCACATTGAAAGTGCTGCTAAGTTACTTAATGAATTTTACTCTAACAAAGCTTACACAAAATCATATAAAATAACTACTAAGTATTCTTATATTTAAATTTCCTTTTTTTTATTTTTACTGTAACAACCTTGATTAAAAAAGAATATACTTTTACGCTTTAAATATTTCATTTTTATTCTGTCATAGAACTGCAGAGGGTAATGACATTGACGAGGAGGCTGCAAAAATAAATACGCTACTCGCCTCGGCAAAAAACGGAAACTGGGACAAAGTATGGGAGATACTTGGATCGCCAGAAAAACCAAAAAACGAACGTCTTTTTAATGTCATACCAGAAAACAGACGATGGGGTATTCTTCACCAAGCTATTTACTGGAACAATAAAACATTGTTACGTTACTTACTGAAATATCCTGCCTGCGATTCTAAAATACACACAAAGCAGTGTACGTCTGAATGTGGTGATACAAGTGGGAAATGTGCAGAGGAAATAGCAGAGCAGTATAAATACATGGAACTAGCCCACCTTTTATCCAAACACGACAATCGTATAGATCACCAAGACACGCCGACATTTGAATCTTACTTTAACAACAATCAAAATAATGGCCTAGGTTTATTAGCGGTTTCATTGGCAGCCTACAAGAGCACTTTCCACCCGAAACCAATTGATCCAAAGAAGTCAATAATAGCCATTTTAGGTGACATATTCAAAGATATAAACCAGTCATCAAAAAGATGGAAAGAAGTCCAAGACAAAGTATGTGATTCCGTTTATGTCATCTGTGAAGAAAACAGCACAAGAATAAAGCGGAGCCGTAACGTTCATGAATTCTTTGTGAATATCATCGACACATACACAGAAGAACAAAATTACATGTACACATATCTGAATGTTGCATTTCGACGACAAAGGGAGAAGAACTACAGGCCTACCGGAAATGATCTATCGCTTGGTCCATATGCGGTCATGTACCAGATGTTGTTGCTGTACTGGGAAGAGCTTCCTCGGGAAAGTGGCGAAACGTATCGCAAGATGTTTCTAGTTAAATCAGATGCTGACCAGTATGTTGTCGGGAAAAGATTTGTGTGGCAATCAATTGTATCCTCTTCAGCTGTTCTCGAAAATGCTATTCCCTTCCCAACATGCGGCCCAGAAGGTGAACAATCTGTCATATTTACTATTGATAACAAAGCAAACTGCTTGTGGCAGCCTAGAAATATAGAGAAATACGCAAAATACATTGAACATGAGAGAACATATCCAGCCGGTGCAAAGTTTATAGTAAGAAGCAAAAGCAAGAAAGGTTCAGACTGGCATATCGCTTTGAAATTGTTACCTTTTTAGGCAGATTATGAACATTGATAAGCATCATGAATTATAAAGTTAAGAACTAAAGAAAAATAAAAAAAAATACGATTTCTCATTTATTTGTGTAACTTAATCATAAAACTGACTTCTAAAAATTAAGTTCCTATATATAAAAGTACAAATTTTTCATAATAAATTACATGTATTTTAAAGTATATAATGAAGAATATAATTTTCTATAACAAATAAATGTTAAGAATTCGTCAAAAAGATTGAAAGAAGTCCAAGATAAAAGAGCTATAAATGCAGCTTTTGCATGTATTGATTAAATAATGTTTAAATTTGGAGGAATAATTCTAATTCAAAGTTGATTTATTTCCAATTGTCAAATTTTTGTAAGGAACTGTTAGTTACGAGAAACAATTAGCATGGAATTTGATTTTTATAGGCTTTAAACTAACATTTTGCTATTGTTCTATTGTCAAGTTGAGGTGAAATATAAAAACAGTGTTCCACTCTTTTTAAACGGAACATAAACATGTTATATAAGAATCGTAATAAATCAAACGGTTGTGCTTGCCATGAATATGTCAATTTTCTACAGCTGTAAGTACTTCTTTTCAAAAAACAGACTCAGTATATTATGAAATGTATTAATATTTTTGACTATTGTCAGAAAGTTTGAACGGTTCTGATATACACAGAGAATTTATTTGTATCTTATTAATGTAATATTCATTGAATGTGTCGCTCTTGTAAATATAATTAACATAAAAAAATTAAACACGTATTTGTAAAAACATATCCGTATAGCTGTAAAGGGAATTTTTGATAGATACAGTTACCGCACCCCGTTTACATGAAATAAAACTAAGTCTCTTAAGAATATTTAAAAAAATGTTTGCTACTGAAAATTTGAATATTTAGCCACTTAAAGTAAAAGTTGAGTTATATTCTCAAAAATATTTTCAATGTTGACTTGTGAGGCAATTTAATTGAAAGTGATGCAAGAATCACCCATATCTAACTTTATTTTACGTAGACACAGTATTTTTGCTCTGAAAATAACTCTAAACATCGGGAAAGATTTTATATTAGAGATATAATAATTTGCTTACTTTATAAGGGATAAAATAATGCATGAAATAAAATAAAACAAAAAACAATTTAAATGCTTTTATTGCCATTTTTATGAATGCAGCTTTTAAGATCAAGTAAATGATGAACTTCTTCCCTGTCTACAAAAAAAAACAACAACAACAAAAGAACTCTACAACGGGATTTACAATACATCACAGCACGGCAATGAACAGCACAACACAATACTTAACAGCAATGCGAAGCACATCAATGGAAATCACCGAACAGCACAGCACAACACAGCAATGCATAGCACGGCACGGCATTGTACAGCACAATACATAACAACAGCAATGGAATGTACAACAATGCACAACAAGGCAGTGCATCGACGTCATTTAATATATATATATATATATAATTAATAACGCCGACACACACCGTTATCGTTGATCACTGTCTTTATTTGTGTAAATTTCTTACAAATTACACTTCTTCTTCCTATATAAGGCATGTTATTTACAATTACGTATTTTGGAACTTAACTCTTAAATGTGAACATCTTTAAAATGTATCGGTAATCTCCCTTAGAATCCACTTACTATTTTTAAAAATTGCAGGATGTATTTCACTTAAAATAAAATAAGATTTACATATAAATATACTACACGGTGTTTTCATTTCTCAGAATAAACTACAAATGTAGAATGTAGACTTTATAAAGAATTATATGGAACATAAATCATCATAATTTAGAATACGATAGGATAGACTATTATCTGACTTTGCTAAAAGCTATTGCCTCGCTGTCTTAACACTGACCTTGCATAAGATTTATCCCAGGTTTGTCAACTCAGGTCGCTTTAAGAAAGTTGTTCATTAAAATGTATATGCAAATAAGCAATATAATTTGTCAATGGTGAAGAGTGATATAGATTGGAGCCAATCAAGCTCCACTCCCACTTAAAGAAAAGCTACCCTCAATGAAAAGGCAACGCTATATATGTTATGTATTTTTATTTCACCGGTTTGAGTTATTTCTTTAATATACAACATTGAAAATGGAAGCACATTTATTAGGCTAAAATTTCATTTAAACTTTGCCTGTGAAAAACTGGAAACAATGCTTTTGTATGTCGGCAATGCGTCCGGTATACATGTGTCAGGTACCAATTCGAGTTGTAAGTCACGTTCGTCCGAATATTCTAACATACCGCCAGCAGTTTGACTTGTGAAAACCGGAAAAAGGTTTTTTATTTTAGCCCTGTCGGCAATTTCGCGCAGTAAAGCAAAACGTTCAGACAATATGTCAGCAAGGGTTGATACTTATCACATCCGTGAAGTTTCGCCATATTCCATAACAACATTATAACCTGTGAAAGCCTGACAAGGATTTCCTATTTGTAGCTCTGATGGCCATTGTGTGCAGCAAAGCAATATGTGCCGGCAATATGCAAAACAAGGGTATATATGTAATGATATTTCCTGTGAAGTTTTGTAGAATTCCAACAAGGGTTGACCTGTGAAAGCCAGACAAAGATTTTCTATTTTTACCTCGGCCGGCCGCTATGTGCCGAATTGGTAGTGATCACTCCTGTGAAGTTTCGTCAAAATCCTACCAGCAGTTTGACATGTAAAAGCCGGACAATCTGAAGTCGGATGTACATACGGACTGCGAAGTCTTTCAAGAATTGTGGAAGGCCTAATTACATGTATACTATATACAGAAGTTTTGTTTTAGCAAATAATCGAAAATAAAGCTCTCCCCTGTGGGTATTTTACATTGAAACTTTGCTAAAGCTTGCATTGGCATAAACAACAATATATTCGAACTTTTGACGCTTTATTAAAATTACAAAATAGAAATTATCATGTAAAATGGTAACATGTATATGTAAGCTATATCAAACTTGTATAAATTTAAAAAAAGTTACTTAGAGTTTGATATAGCTTACATATACAGGGTACAAGTCTATCCATATCAAAATTTTGGAGACAAAATTAATGTCTGGAACATTATAAACAGGAACTGGTAACTACCCCTTATAACTGTGAATAAGAACTAATTATAACAACAAAAATAATTGTTTACAGAATGCAAACAGGTATGTGAACAAATTGAAATAACAACTAAACATCATATAAAGCATACTTGTGCAATAAATTATGAACAGAAATGTTCTAAAACAGATTTATATTTCATTTTCGTAACAAAAATTTACTTATTCATTTATTTGCTAATAAAACCTATGACACTTCCTTTGAACTAAATGGACATTTTCAACTGGAAATAAACTAACGTCAACATTTGTAACTAGAAATAATTTAACCACATCAATAAATTTCCTTCCCTCATTTATGTAGGCAGGCGTAACGTGACTTCCTCAGATCCCCTTTCAAAATTCCATTTTATTTAGTTCCGCCCATTGTTTTCTCGTTTAGGGCAAAAGCATTCTTTTACTTGGGGACCATACGCCGCTTTTCATGGAATGGCACTACTGTGTCACATTGAAGGTTCCATGATAACCGCCGTATGAACACATCTGCGGATGTTTCTAAATTCAAAATTTCACCATTTTCGTGTTAAATGTTGAATTCTGCTTAAGCCGGTGCTAGGGGGCATGGACGGTAACTTGCACTTTCCAGTACCGTCCATGAACAGGCTCAATCAAACCGAGCCTGCAACATTTTCAATTGTGTTGTGTTGGACTTTCTTTAGGGATTCTGTTTTTCTCTATTTTGGTGTTTTCATAGTGAAATGTCTTTTGTGTTCTTGGTGCCTTTTCCCTATTTGCATGCTCACATGCCTTGGAGAAAACATGGTCAGCATATTGATCTGCGTTGTCAGCTACAAGTTTGAATAAAGCCTGCAATTCAAACTCTTACCTCACAAATTCAAGGCTTGCATATAGAGTGGTTTCCAAACTGATAGGGAACCATAGCCGTATATTAACTCTAAGCCCTTCTTTGTTTCCAGCACTTTTGCTAATGGTATTTCAGATATTTTTGCAAATGAACCTTGTAGCTGCTTATTTTTTAGTGATAAAATAAAATATGAAAAACAAGATGAATAGGGCAGCAGTCAATGAACGCACACCCCAATTAAACTGAGGAACCCAGGACCACCGTCAAAGAATCTAGCAGGACATCAACAGGACAGAGCAAAATTGTTTCCAAACATTTTTTACCAATTGAATTATGTCGAACCGTTTTTATTTTGTGTGTGTGGTTTTTCTTTTGTTTTTGTTGTTGTTTATTTTAGGGGTGGGAGGTGGGGTAAACGTTTATGTTGTTACTGACTCTTGATATAAGAGTATTGTCTCCTTCTACCTCAACTTAATCAATAGAACTTCCCTTCCTTCCCTCCTCAAGCAATTACTTTATTCCCTGCTCAACACTTTCACTTTCCATTAACTTGATGCTCCACTTTTGATTTCTCATACATTGAGGTAGACGGACCTTCTGGCATTTCATGTTACGGTTCCACTAATAACAAGTCCCACAGACACGGTGTGAAAGAATCGATTAAAGCATTTTTTTCACATATTTGGATTTAAACATTTAGAAAGTATAAGCTGAAAAATATCAAAACTTGCAAGAAAAACTTACATTATAAGTTATCTCTAATGAAAATCTCGAAGAGCAGCAGCAGCAGGAGAAAAATAATTAATTATTGCCATAATTTTCAGATAGATTATTTCCATTACCAGCAGTAAAATAGCAGGAAAATATTCATGGCGATTTGTTTAATCAGATTAAGCTTAGATTTGCTATCATAATGAAAATACGACATTCCAACCCGAGTGCGGTACTGATATTTGTCAATCAGTCGATGGTTTTGCATTGCTTTCTCTCGTTTTTATTAGATAATATTTATGTCAGGTGTACTGCTATGAGAGGGATTTTATGTTATTCCCTACTTCATATCAGGAAATTATACATAAATTTAATAACACATTCTGCTACCTAGATGATACCCTTAACATGAATAATCCTTATCTCGACCAAATGGTTACTAAAATATATCCCTGTGAACTTAAATAATACTTCGATAAAAGATATGATTTTAATATTGTCAACTTTCCACATTTAGATGGAGATGTACATCATGCTACATCATATGGAGTATATATTTCTCAATTAATTTGAATTGCTAGGGCGTATAGGTGTGTTGTTGTTTTTAAAGAACACAATTTATTTATTACTGACAAACTTCTTAAAGAAGACTATTGTTATCATAAATTGCAGAAATATTTTACCATCGGAATTCAGATTTAGTTTTAAAATTTAATTGAAATTTAAAAACTCTTTTACGACTAGGTATAAGCAAGCCTGATTTCTATGGAGATGCGGTTTACAAACTTCGTAGGATCATAGTAAATTTTCTGCTGTCTGCACTAAAATTATCAAACGGTTTATTAAAAGAGCTTATGACACAATTATTTTGAGGCATACAGCATGCTTGGTGTTCAGCCCTTATACAGTTGGACGCTACGCTAGCGCTTTCGTCTTTTAATTAATCTGAATGACTATGAAAGTGGGAGACTCTATTATAGGCAGTTAGTAAAGCCTTTTGGAATGAATTGTCTTAATGTTCGTCTTCTGCTTTGCTTCGTCGGGCCCTTGTAGGTGATTTTCTTGTTGCTCTCCCTTCCTTTAAGGCATCGAGTATTTTGGTAATGGTCATTGGGATGTACCTTTTGGTACATATTTAAACATTCAGTGGTGTAACTTCTACTGACCGTTCCAAGGCAGTACCCCTCTCTGTTCCTTCATGTGTTTCACATGTCTGTATTGTTACTTGTTTTGAATGTTTACGTTTTTTTTGTGATGCCGATCTTATTAAGTTGTCGTTAACGGTAAGTTTTTTTCCCATAACGCCTCCCCTTCTCCCGTCTCTTACCCAACATTCTACCTTTACAGCTCTTGCCCCTTTAATTCCCATATGGGCCCGTTTTAGTTTTTCACACATTACGTGTCCTTCTTCTCCTTTCGCCACCCCGGTTTTGGTTTGGTGGTTTCTTGTAGCACTGCTTTTGTGGCTTAAGTATGTCGGGGTTGCGTGCTGTGAACGTTGCCTTTACCTTGTTGATCTTTATTGTCATTTTTTACCTTAAACTTATAACATTTTACCAAGCCTCCATTTAGTCTTTTTTAGGCTTAAACTTATGACTGTTCC